TGTAAGATCATAAAATTTACATACCCATAGGTTCCAGAGATCAGGAACTAGATACCTTTGGGGTTATGATAAAGAGGGAACTATTTTGCTTACCACAATTATTTGTGTAACTTAAAAAAAAACTTATTTTAAAAATCATATATAAATTTCCTGATAATGATAATTTTTAATGATGCCTAATAGGCATCATGAACCTTGATTTATTTAACTGGACTCTCTCCCTCCCAATTGATGTCAATTACTTAACTGGTCCTCTCAATTGGGGCTATTTTGATTGCTGACATTTTCATGAACAAAGAGGATGATTTTCATGAGGAACATCTTTAGACTTTCTGGAAGAGGTGCTGACTCAGACAGGGGATTAGGAAATGGATTTGAACTCAGGAAGATCTGAGTTGAGAGCCAGACCTTGCCTGGAGGTATCCAGGTGATTGAAGCCTTAGTTTCCTGAGCTGCAGAAAGGGAATCCTTGTTTACTTCTTTCTCAAAGCAATTTTTTTTTTAACCAGCTTCTTGAGATATAATTCACAGACCTTATTATTCACCTAGTTAAAGGGCAATTTTATGGTTTTTAGCTGTGTGGGGGAGGGGAAAGAGGGTAGTATTTACAGGATGTAATGATGTTAAATTTGCAACTTGTCACAATATAAATAATTTGTTACTCATTATTTTCAGCAGTGGAGGGAGCCTTTCCATAATTTGGGACTGACCTTGTCAACACAGGGGTTCTTCTGTGATTTCTCAGTTTTTATATTTATTTTCTTTGGGTTTTTCAGAAGGGTGTTTGGATAGAATCGAGGGGCATGGGAGAAGTCTGTATGAGAATGTTAGACTATTTGACGCAAGGTACCCTCTTTCATCCTCCCTTGTGTAATCCTGAATTAAACTCCTTTCCAAACCCTCACTCACAGGTAATTAGGGGAAGTCAGTTTCAGTTCATTGAACCTCCTTGCCCCAGTCCCCAGCCGCGCAGTCACTGGCCTGCCCTTCCTCCATATTCACATGAGACTTGCCCCTTCAGGTGAGGACTGCACTGTAATCGCCCATCTTAGCTTGTGCCACCCAAGTGGCAGGGAGAGCAGGCAGGAAGGAGAGGCAGTGGGTCTCTATCAATCCCTTGGGGTACCCAACCTAGCTACCAGTAAACCATACAATCAAATTCCAGTTGACTGAAGGTTTCAGACTTCAGTGAGTGAAGTATCAGCCAAATTCAGGTGTGTGTTGCACCAGAGTGGTGTGTGGGTGACTCCTCAGGCATCTCACAGGTATGGGAGCAGGTTACGTGAGATGGGTGTGGGTTAAGTGATGAGGACAAGGTGCAGGGAGGGTGGGTGGAGTCAGAGGTGGGCGAGGGTGGAGGCAAAGAATGGGGTTGGACCTAGTTAGACCAGTGGTTTGGAACCATTTTTTGGGTCACAACCACCTTTGAGAATCCAGTGGATGTTAACAAAATAATGCTCATGTGCACGCACACACATACTCATCCATAAATTTCACATCTGAGGTTCAGAATTAAGGACCTCTGTTCTGCTCGAGTTAACTGAGAGGGATTTAGAAATTTTAAGGAAATTGAGAATCTCTTGGGAACTCCCTGATGGCACAAGGGGTTAAAGCACAGCACTGTGAGGCTAGCAACAGCCACTGCAGCACAAGTTCGATTCCCGGCCAGGGAGCTGACCCACATGGCGCAGCAGACCTCTCCTGTCTCCCTGCTGCTCTCCCAAGCCATGTATTTCAATAAATCTACCTGTTCTGCTCCCCACTCTGTCTTTGGTAAATCCTCTCACCCACCCTCCACCTCTGACTTGTAACTCAGTTCTTCTATGTGTAAATAAATAACTCTTTAAGAAAAAAAAAAAAGAACTTGGGAATCTCAAGTTATAGAGTTAGGGAAGTTAGGGAAGTCAATTCCATAGTCCATGTATTCCATAAATCCTTTATTTATGTTTCCCAGTTTTAATTTTGAAAAATTAAAAAAATAAAGTAGCAAGCTCTTGTAGTCTTCAATTACATTTTCAGATTGTTAACATTTCTCCCCATTTGCTTCCCTCTCCCCAAGTATGTTAGTGCTCTCAGGAACCCGTGTTTTGTTTGTTCGATGTCTGGAGAACCATCCTAAACACTTGGCATGTAATTTCTAAGATCAAGAGATTCTTCCGCAATCTAATCTCCTACGATATAATCCTTAGACTCACAAACTTTAACATTGATAAAATATTATTAGGTAATATACATCTGATATTCAATTTCCCCACTAGACCCAATAGTGTCCTAAAGCTGTATTCTTTCTCCTCCTCTCCCACCCCCCACCTTCCTGCCTTTTTTTTTTAAAGATTTATTTATTCATGCATACAGAACTAGGGTACAAGCCAAAGTACAGGGAGGGCCCCCTTCCTGCCTTTTAATCCAGGATCTAACCCTGAATCATAAACTTCAGGGTTGTTAGTTGTTAGAGTTCTGAGGGATAAAAGGGGCCAGGATGATCAAACATCCAAAATAAAACAAAAAGTATTAAAGCGAAGATTTAAAAAATTTGGATTACATAATTTACACAAAAGCAATGCTATCATCACTCTCTGGTAAATGGACAGGCGAGGACTGGCCTTTCTTAGGGACACGGAGAAAATTTGCATTTGGCCTGTATCCTAGTGATTGGATTCAGGTACTTCATGCATCCCTTCTGGCTCAGTGTATCACATCAGGATGTCAGTTGCTTCCAAACTGAGTTTGATTCATGGTTCAAGGGGTGGCCTCCAGTTTCCCTTTGTAATTGCTAAGTGATCTGTGGGGTAACACAGTATTCATTGAGAGCCTCCAATTGTGGCAAATGCTGGGTGACCCTGCAGACAGAGTCCTTGCTATCATACTGTTCTCACAGGGGAGGAGACAGTAAGGAAATAAATAATTACAAAAATGCAGATTTTTGAAGGTTGTGGATAGGATATAGAGCTGTATCAACTCTGACTTTTTGTTTTTGAAAGATTTATTTATTTATGCATACAGAACTGGGGTACAGGCCAGAGGTGCAGGGGTGGTGAGAGGATTCACCAGAGACAGAGTGGGGAGCAGAACAGGCACACTGCTGAGGGGAGCAGCGGGTGGATCAGGAGAGGTCTGCTGTGCTATATGGGTCACCTCTGGGGCGGGGATCGAACTTGTGCTGAAGTGGCTTTAGCTTCTTAGTGCTCTACTTTAACCCACTGCGCCACCAGGAAGGGCCCTCAACTCTGACTTTTAAAATGAAATTAGAGGTGAGACTTGGAGAGAGAAAAGGAATCAGGTATGGGAAGATGGCCTGGCCAGTCTTGTAAGGTAGAGGGAATTGAAAGATGGGCATGTAGTCTCAGGGAAGGAAAAGCTATAGGTGAAAGGCCCTGGTAATACTAATATGGAGGACTTAGTGTCTGCAGGACACTACCCTAAGAGGTTTCTGGGTTTATCTTGTTTAGTGTTTCCATAGCTCTGTGACGTTGGTGTCATTACTGTTTTTATGCTATAAAATTTACAGCATGGCACAGAGAGGTTAAGTTATTAGCTCAGAGACACACAGATTTGAAGCAGCAGTGCTGAAATTCAAGTTTAGATAGCTCTGACTTCATGGTGCTCTCAACAGTATCAAGGAGGAGGAAACAGGGTTTCATCTAGAAAACAAACGTGAAGGGTTGGAGTTAGAGCAGCCAGGGCTGAGTGAGGAAGTTCTGTTGATAAAGGACGTGGGATGGAAAAGGAAGACAAAAGGCCCAAAGATCAACCCGAGAAGAGAGTTCAGGGCCAGATGTCAATATAACAAAATAGACCAAAATGTGGTTAACTAACCCACCTCTGTCCCCGCAGCCTCTAGCCTGGCCCTTCAGGAGAATTCCACCTTTCTTTTCTTGCTGTTTACCTTCCCAAACAAAGAGAATTTCCATAGTCTCAAAGTATCTCCCTACAAACTACTTATTGATTACAACTACTTATTGATTACAAAGGAGCTTTCACAGTGGACAACCTTAGCCGATCCAGCTGAACCAAGTGAACATCCAGATGGTTCTAAGGCTCACGACCAAAAGTGTGTAAAAGGGTCTGGTAAGACAGTTTCTTGATGGAGAGATACTGGGAGAACTTGGGGGTTTAAGAGTCTACGGGTGACTTTAGGCAGGGTCCAGTGTGGGAAGAAGGGGTGTCTCTGGGAGGGATGGGGGGAAATCTTGAGTGGGGGACGGCCTGTGAGGAGTCAGTCTTTGGGAAGGGGCGTGATGGAGCTGTCTGGATGACAGGCAGGTCAGAATGCTGGCAGTAAAAGGGGGTGGCGGTGGACAGACTCGGTGACAAGAGGTTTGGGGGGCTTGGGGTAGTGTGTCCAGGACAGTCATGAGAGGGTACAGGAGGCCCCGGGTCAGCAGTCTGCGGGCGGGCGAGGCTCTGGTTTGTCCGAGTGCGGCAGGTCAGACATAAGA